GCCCCAGCGGCCAGGGTGGGGAGCCCGGCACCTACGTGGTCGGCGTTGCTGTTGGCGCTGTGGAAACACACAGCGCTGAAGGTGTAGCCCGAAATGGAAGCCGCCATGATGGAAATCTCTTAATTCCCCCATCATGCCCCGCGGAGGGCACGCAGCCTTCCGGCCGGCCCCGCCCCGGAGCATCCTGGGAAATGAAGTCTTCGCAGATGAGGCCGGAGGCCGGAGCGCCCGGGGGGAAGGGGTGATGAGTGCAAGTTTAAGGGATCAGAACGAACGACGCCCCCGCACCGTGTCACCCGTGGATCTCGCGCCTAGCACACCCCAGACACCGCCTCTTCTGTAGAGACCTTGATAGTTGCGCAAAAGTTTTTTTTATTTTTGCAAATAGAATGAGTGTTCAAGTCCAACATCTGTCATGCTCAAGGATGGATGCAAGGAGGTGATTCAGGCGGTTGCATGGTTTGGGGTTTGATATAGAAGTAACATGATGCGACTTCAATCTCCATATGACCTTTCTGGCTGCCATGTCAAGAATATAGTGCCGGGAAGGGATTACGGTAACCCAGAGCCGGGATGGCCGTGGCTTGGTGGTGGTAGAAGTGAAATGGTGGTAGCAGGGGAGGTGGTAAGAAGCGATTGGATTCTGGGTACAAGGGAACACAAATTTAATGAAATATAACGGAAAGAGGATAAAAGCAACAAATAACAAATAGAAGTGAAAATAAACTATAACAGAGTTAAGCAAAGAAACTCAGGGAAGGGACTCACCTTTCTAATCATTATTCTTCAATTTATTCCATCTTTCTGGTTGGAAACTAGGCTCTTGATCTCCCACAAAACTCTTACCACACTCTGTCCAAGCAAACAGAACTGTTTTCTGGAAGTTGGGCGGAAAACCCTTGTAATTGTTCTTGTTACCCCACTTGGATCAGTCAGCAGTCTTCAAAATGTATCCAAACAACTGGCTCCAGTGAGCTATGAGCCTGAGCGGCCCAAAGAAGACAGTGCAGTGGTGACAGGATTGAAAAATGTCCCTGAGCCCTGTGTCCAGGAGGAGACCGGGAGGAGCTGTGGGGAGAGGGAGGGTAGGACAAGAATGATGATAGGATGGCCAGGAACCAGGGGGGTAGAGAGCACAGGGAAAAGGGGGTTCAGAGGGATAGGGGGTGTGGGGGAAGGCCATGCAAGACAGTTCAGTTTTGAACAGGTTGAGCTGAACGTAACAAGGGGCACCTAGGCAACTGCTCTAGAAGTCTGCAGCTGAGGGTAGGGGGTGGGAGTTACTAACAGTAAGGAAAGCTAACAGGTACCGAACACCGATTGTATGTCAGGCTCTGTTCTAAGCTCCTTACACTATATAGACTTATTTAATCTTGCTAACAATCCTCTAAAGGAGGATTAAAAAAAATTTTTTAAGTATCTTTTTATTGATTTTTTTTTTTTAGAGACATGAAGGGAAGATAGAAACATTGATGAGAAGGGCTGCCTCCTACACACCCCCTACTGGGGATTGAACCTGCAACCCAGGCATGTGCCCTAACCGGGAATCAGCCCCGTGACCTCTTGGTTCAAGGGTCCATGCTCAACCTCTGAGCCACACTGGCCGGGCTGAAGGAGACCCATTTTAAACTGCATTTTATCGTTGAAGAAACTGAGGTAGCATTTATTGAGCATTTATACATTAGGCATGTGGGATTTTACAGAAAGTATTTCCTTTCATCTCTATAGCTGCCCTATGCCATGGGCACTATTATTATCCTTGTTGTAGGATGGGCAAACTGAGGCCCTGAGAAGTTAAGAAACTTGCCCATAGTCACACATGTTAAGGCGAAGGCTCAAATCCTGGCAGTCCAACTGGAGCTGGGTGCCTAGCTCCCCTTTTTAAAAGGTTCACTTAAGAGCAGGTGGTGCTGAGGGGGAAAACGGGGGCTTGAAAGGGATGTGCTAAGCTGTGTTGACCCCTATAGATCAATCAAGAGAGGTAAAGCCTGGCCAGCTGGTGTGGCTCAGTGGTTGAGCGTCAACCTATGAACCAGGAGACCACGGTTTGGTTTGATTCCCAGTCAGGGCATATGCCCGGGTCGCGGGCTTGCTTCCCAATAGGGGGCATGCAGGAGGCAGCCGATCCATGATTCTCTCTCATCATTGATGCTTCTATCTCTCTCTCCCTTTCCCTGCCTCTCTGAAGTCAATAAACAAATTTGGGGAAAAAACAAAAAAGAGAGAGAAAGAGGTAAAGCCTGGAACTTGGCCCTTTGCTTGTCAGCGAGGAAGCCGTTGAGAATTGTTGGGGGCCAGTGTCAGTGCTGCTGTGGGTGAGCAGGGGGTCATGCTGCAGGGCTTGGTGGAGGGAGAGACAGACAGGCAGACCG